TGAAGCTAGCTGACATGAGTAGAAAGAAGCAGAAAGAAGCTGAAAGGCACTGAAGCTACCCGACATTTGTAGAAAGAAGCAGAAAGAAGCTGAAAGGAGCTGAAAGGAGCTGAAGCTAGACGACATGAGAAGAAAGAATCTGAAAGGTGCTGAAAGGAGCTGAAGCTAGCCAACATGAGTAAAAAAGAATCACAAAGAAGCTGAATGGAGCTAAAGCTAGCTGACTTGAGTAGAAAGAAGCTGAAAGGAGCTGGAAGGAGCTAAAGCTAGCTGACTTGAGTAGAAAGAAGCTGAAAGGAGCTGAGCTAAAACAAATGCTGTAATGTTATAAGCAGCATGAATGGTTTGAAGGATGAAGAGAGCTCCACTCATTTTCAATAAGAACAACATGTCCGAAAAATACCTAAAGTCATAGCAGGAATGTCCTGAATGAGCAGAACGTTTAAGTGTTGAAAAGAACAAAAATTGTAGAATAAGTTAAAATGCAGAAAATTGTACCAAAAAAAACCCAAAAACGGACACCAGTAAACGATTTATAAACATTCACGATTTAATAACTAACAAGTGGTCTGGTGTTTAAATGTGTCTGGAGCCTCTGGATGGATTTTAGTGAAACTTCCTGAAAATAATTCTTGCCATTAGTTGTACAACTCATTAAAATTTGGAGGCAATCTCATTTTAGATGGCTACTAAAGCTAATCAGCTTTAGCCGACACAAAATGGCTCCAACTGAGCCAGTTCTACAGATATTTGGCTCATTTTGATCACATGTTCAGCTGACATCATCAGACTGTGCTCAGAACTGTCTTCACAGCTCTGGATCAATTCTTGTGTCATTTATTGGCAGAGATCAAGAAAGTATAAATGTAAGTTTAAGACATCATTACCAGGTCATGGGTAGTCTTTGGATCGTCTCTGGTCCCTTTGAACAAACTGAACACTGGAACTGATAAAACCTACAACACACAGAAATAAAAAGTTAACACTGTTTGCAGACGACACTGTGACGCATCTGTACATAAACAGTCAGCTGTTTGTTTTTACTAATATTCTGCTCTAAGTTAGGTTATGATACTTTATTTATACCCAAGGGTAGATTTGGTTTGCAGTGGTACAAAGCATACAGGTGCTGGTCATAAAATTAGAATATTATTAAAAAGTTGATTTATTTCAGTAATTCCATTTAAAAAGTGAATTTTTTATATTATATTCATTCATTACACATAGACTGATATATTTCAAAAGTTTATTTCTTTTAATTTTGATGATTATAATGAAAACCCCAAATTCAGTATCTCAGAAAATTAGAATATTGTGAAAAAGTTCAATATTGAAGACACCTGATGCCACAGTCTTATCAGCTAATTAACTCAAAACACCTGCAAAGGCCTTTAAATGGTCTCAGTCTAGTTCTCTAGCTACACAATCATGGGGAAGACTGCTGACTTGACAGTTGTCCAAAAGATGACCATTGACTCCTTGCACAAGGAGGGCAAGACACAAAAGGTCATTGCTAAAGAGGCTGGCTGTTCATAGAGCTCTGTGTTCAAGCACAATAAAAGAGAAGGGAAGGAAAAGATGTGGTAGAAAAATGTACAAGCAATAGGGATAACCACACCCTGGAGAGGATGGTGAAACAAAACCCATTCCAAAATGTGGGGGAGATTCACAAAGAGTGGACTGCAGCAGGAGTCAGTGCTTCAAGAACCACCACGCTCAGACAAATGCAAGACATGGGGTTCAGCTGTCACATTCCTTGTGTCAAGTCACTCTTGAACAAGAGACAGTGTCAGAAGTGTCTCTCCTGGGACTGCTGCTGAGTGGTCCAAAGTTATGTTCTCTGATGAAAATAAATTTTGCATTTCCTTTGGAAATCAAGATCCCAGAGTCTGGAGGAAGAGAGGAGGCACAGAATCCACGTTGCTTGAGGTCCAGTGTCAAGTTTCCACAGTCAGTGATGGTTTGGGACCATGTCATCTGCTGGTGTTGGTCCACTGTGTTTTCTGAGGTCCAAGGTCAATGCATCCGTCTACCAGGAAGTTTTAGAGCTTCTCATGCTGCTGACCACCTTTATGGAGATGCAGATTTCATTTTCCAACAGGACTTGGCACCTGCACGCAGTGCCAGAGCTACCAGTACCTGGTTTAAGGACCATGGTATCTCGCCGGACCAGCAAACTCGCCTGAACTTAACCCCATTAAAATATCTATGGTGTATTGTGAAGAGGAAGATGTGACATGTCAGACCCAACAATTCAGAAGAGCTGGAGGCCACTATCAGAGCAACCTGGGCTCTCATAACACCTGAGCAGTGATGGACTCCATGCCACGCTGCATTGCTGCAGTAATCCAGACAAAAGGAGCAACAACTAAGTATTGATGCTGTACATGCTCATACTTTCATGTTCATACTTTTCAGTTGGCCAACATTGAAAAAATAATAATAATGTAATGGTCAAGTAATATTCTAATTTTCTGAGATATTGAATTTGGGGTTTACTTTAGTTGTCAGTTATAATCATCAACATTAAAATAAATAAAACAGTTGAAATTAATCAGTCTGTGCGTAATGAATGAATATAATATACAAGTTTCACTTTTTGAATGGAATTACTGAAATAAATAAACTTTTTCACGATATTCTAATTTTATGGCCAGCGCCTGCACATCCACGCACACACGTACTGTAAAAAAGTAAGAACACCTCAAATTAACCATTCACAGATAATAGTGCTCAAGGCTCCACAGGTCATATTCAAAACAAAGCAGGACATAGAAGAGGACAGTAAAAACTTTAAAATTCAACTAGTATAAAAATGTATTAAAATATTAATTTATAATTAGAGAAAACTCTGTTAAACTAATGTATAGGCTAATGTACAGGGATGTAACTGATGTTTGGATTCTTCCGATCAGTTTAAACAGCTTAATCTTCTGAAGGGAGCTCTTTTCTGAGTGACCCTGAAGATGCTCCGACGTTTGGTCTGCACGTGTTTTTAGTCCAACCGTGAACTCAAGACTTCGCTCTTCGCTCGGCACGTTCCACCAATCCTGCCTCACCCTCCCCAACAGTCTGTTCAACCCCTCCTGGCTCCCCCCTCAGACTCAGTCACTGAGGCCGGATGGGCATAACGAACAGCTAATGACGGTGACAACGAACCAGACGCTTCTTATTCAGCGTCGTGTGTGGACCGGCAGCAGAGCGGTGATGTTTGTCTCTTCGCTCTGAGAATAAAACGAGCCGTTGTCCTCGTGAGAACATCAACGCTCGCGCTGATCGGCTCATCTGGAGATAATTAGGGTGTTTCTCCGACGAGGGGAGCTGTCACTCAGACATCTTCATTTATCGTCCTCAGTTCAGCCTCCCACGTTGAACTAATTAATGATAAACGGCCAAGTATGATGACGTCTGGGTTGTTTTTCTGTTTGTTTGTTTGTTTGTTTGTTTGTAACTCCGTGGGTCAGACAAACAAAACCACTGCAGCAGTTTCTGTTTCCTTTGTTAAACAGGCTTGATGCTTAATCTCTCCTTGAAACTGAACCAAATAAACAAATACTGAGAAGTGAAGCTTGAAATAAATAAATTAATGAAAAGAAACACAATTAACTTCTTGTTTGTATTAAAACGTAACTTTAAATTACAGATATATTGGAATATTTCTGGCTGCTCCAGAAGTCTGCATTCATATTCAGTTTAAATGGATAATTAATGATATTTTTCCTCTTTTCATGGGGATGGGTGATCAAGAAATGGCTTGTCTGTGCGTCTGAATGCATGAGTGTGTTAGCAAAATATCTCATGAACAACTTGATAATTTTTAATGAAACTCTCAGAAAGTTATCATTGGGGGAACATCTGTATCTTTGTACTCAAGGTGGCCGCCACAACTCCTCATCCTTTTTATACAAAAATATTAATAATTCTGACATATTTACAGATACTGAGTCAAAATTGTGTGTGGTAGTAGCTGAGAATCATCCCCAATTAATACTTTGAGAGCTAACAGTTCACACTTTCTTTAATAATCTGTCGTGCAGTGTGGCGGGTGATATGCATTCCTTTAATGAATTCTAGTTTCAGTCATTTTATTTGTGTTTGTTTGTTTTGGACATTGAATATTTTCTGTGTCTGCCATCAGGTCAGCAGATGTTCCACATAATGAGTGTCACAGGAATCAAGATGCAGATATTTTCACTCTGAGGTTGCATTTTTATTAACAGATTCATTTCTGATGGACTGTAACTGTTTTAGGCTCCGAGATAAAGTTTGAAATGTAAAAAAAAATCCATTCAGATGCAACAAATCTCAACCTTCCCAACATCAAAGTTATAATTCATGCAGAATTCTTCTGTTTTTACGTACCTGTCGCCGTAAAGCAGCGGCTTGGTTAGACACTGCGTGCACGCTTCGTGGAACCACTGACCACAGCTGCCACACTGCAGCATCTTCAGGTTCCACCTGCAGCCGGCGGCAAGAAGACACACGGAGCATTAAAACCACGAAAAAACGCGACAACTAAAAACAGGATGGGTTTCTGCAGCCAGACACAAACATGACGCTTCACAAAGGTAAAAACAAATGTTTGCTCGTCTTGTTTGACACATTTTTGACGTCTTGCAAGTAATTCACAGATAATCCCCAAGAAGAGGGAGGTTAGAGAGCATCCAGGAAGAGTACGGTGAAAGTTTGCACATAAACTGGCCTCACTCACTCTCCAGGTCCGGCGCAGTAGCAGTAACACTGCTGCTGATTGGTCAGATGCTGCAGGTCCCAGTCTAAAGACGACAGCTGGTAGGGCAGCCTCTGTTTCATGAACTGCATGAGGCGAGCGAAGCGTCCTCGTTTCAGAGCCCCACCTCTCTGCAAAGATCAGAGTCAGTTACTTCTGAGCCCTCGTATCAGTCCGTGTCCGCAGACAGATCATTTCTGACAGGAAAACAGCTCTTTGTCTCGTTTTATCGTAGGTCAGCCGTGAGAGGTGTAGTCTGAGGCGCAGGAAGTCTAAACCAGGGTTGGACATCGAGCGATGGATAATTAACTGAGTTCTTTTTCATCTCATGTCTCCAGAAATGGAACATGTGATGGATCGACATGAAACGTGCTCCTCTCAACTCCTTCGTAACTATTGATTGTCCACGATTTCTCTGACACCAGGTCTGATATTGAAGTCGATACTGAGAGAATTAGTGTGCGCCTGCCTCAGATAAACACGTTACACTCTGCACACTGATAGATTTGACTGGAGTTCTCATTATTACAGACTGATCTTTTTCTTTTCCACAGCGTGACACGGAGAGATTAGCAGCCTGACCTTGGTTGCGACTGCAAAGACACACTGTCGACATATCCACGAGTCGCTCTCGGCTTCCGGCTCGATGGTCGGCGTGTGGCACTCTAGATGATAACCTGCAATGGAGGAGGAGGAGGCAGAGCGTTTAATTCATCTTCCCAAGACAGGCAGCCATGATGACAGTATGACATCCACTACTTCCCCTGATGGTTTTAGAATCCTGCGAAACATTTAAAAACACTTCCTGAAGGCAGCGTTAGTCTCCCTGCTTCCTGAAAACAGCTGGAGGAGCCTCGCTCGCATCACAAAGGTTTAAAAATAGGCCTGTCACGATAACACATTTTGCTGGGCGATTAATTGTCTCAGAAATTATTGCGATAAACGATAATATTGTTTGAAATTTGACAATAATTAGTAATTATTGTCAAATTTAAGAAGAAATGTTAAATTTGTTTTGAGTGTAGTACCTTTTTTGACCACCAGATGTCAGTATAAGACTGTTTGAACCGAAGGATGGATAGTGAGGGAGCGAGCAGCGTGTTTCTTTAAGACAAATGGGAGGGAGGCGACTTGACGTGACATGGGCTGTCTCTCTTGGGTTCGCAAAACGGCGGATGCTCGGTGTGGTTTGAGCTCTTTAGCGTAGCACAGGGGTCTGCAACCTGTACGATCACAAGAGCTATTTTTACGCCTTCGTTCACGACATTAAACGTGTCCAGAGCCGCAACAACCTGCTACAACTGTGGTCATCAACTGGTGGCCCGTGGGCCACTTTAGGTTTGGGGGCTTTTATGGCCAGTAGGGGTGACATTATAAAACATAAAATATCTAATGATTTTTAAACATTTATTAAAGAAAAATACCAGATTCTTGTAAATAAGGAAGAAAAATCAGTTTTTAACTTTTTTTTAAATGGAAAAAAAAATCTACAAACTATGCAGACTGTTCTTCATATAAAGAAATAAAGTATTAAGTTAAATTATGTATTGCTCTTTGTACTCGCGCCAGTGTTCACGTATTTGCAAAGGAAATGACTGGAAAACTGTTTGAACTAATCTTTTTTTTCTTGTTTTTACAACCAGCAAAATTCAGTTTTATGTCAGTTTTGGTCAAAGCTTGAAAGAGCCGCTGCAGACGGACCAAAGAGCCGCATGTGGCTCCAGAGCCGCATATTGCAGACCCCTGGCATTGCATCACACAAAGCTTTTAATAAAAAAAATCAGTAAACAAGTTCTCAGCTTCCTTTTGCAAAGAAAAACAACTTTTTACACAAAGGCACAGGTTGTAACCGTAAGTTTTGGAGCTTCGACAAGACGGAGGTTTTTTCCCGAGGTCGGCCTGTTAGCTTAGCTCGTAGCTTAGCTTCTCAGCTTAGCTGCTTTTAACGATCCAAAGAATTGATTCTGGACGGTTAAAATGGATTTTAAAGAGAGAAGAGAAAGGGCGGGGTCAGTGAAGAGCACCGGACGATTTCAAAAACGCTTTGGAGCGGAAATATTTTGGTCAGATTTTAAGAAATAAACGAAAGAGCGGGATTATTCTGTACGGAAATGGATGTGATTTAATGATTTAATGTGCATCTTTAAAGGTTTAGTGCACATAAAATAACTCTGAAGCTGGAGGTGCACGGCAATACGCATGTTCTGTTCTTTAAAGCCTGCAAGTCACTGCAACTGTTGGCAACAAGTTGGGGACGCAAAAACGCAAGAAAATTCATAAAATCTGACGGAATCGAGCTGAAGTGGAGCTACGAGACATTTGCATTTGTGAGCAAGACGTTGGCGCAACATTCCTGCAAATGATGTGCACATTTATTTATTGCAGTTTAATCACAAAGTGTCTCGTGGGACTGGTGGAGCAGAGGTTAGAGAAGGTGGGCATGTGATCGGAAGATCGCTGGTGTCACATTTCCTGACTCACTAAATGAAAATGTAAAATTTGAGACGTGTTCCAGACGCATTCAGACCCAAGTTGTTCTGCAGAAACGTGTTGAAAAGTCCTGCGACTCACACTGACACTTTGGAAACTTCCTTGCGAAGGTCGTTCAGCAGCTACAGCCCAATAAGATGCGAGGAAAAAATATTCTGCTTTTTTTAAGTATTCAGTTTCGAATAAACACGACGTGAGACAGATTCAACAAACCATGATACTACCACCACATTTTACAAAAAGGGTTTCAGGTTCCCAGGCTGAGACTCAGAATTCAACCAGGTCTATGTTTTATTCTAACCAAACGGTTTCATTATGATCTAATTTGAAAGCATTATGAAAACATAATCAAGGACTGTTTGACTTGTCAGGGAAGCGCTACAGGTGCATCAGAACAAGAACAAACAGATTCAAGAACAGATTTTTTCCCGAAAGCCATCACCACACTGAACTCACACATGCACTGATTTAATAATATAACCTCCCAAACTCCTGCACTTCTACTGTGCAATACTACTAACATTTCATACTCTCAATCACCTTAACTACCTCACTAATATACTGTACATAATGTGCAATACAATTGTGAAATACTTGTATTTTTTACTTTCATAGTGCTATTATATCTATATTGTGTTACATTTGTGTGCTTTTCTTAAGCATGTGTTTGCATTGAAAAAAAGGAGCGGCTCTTAATTTCATTGAACTAATGACAATAAAGACATTCTGATTCTGATTCTAATCACTCCAGAAAACATTTCTACAACTAAATGCTGCAGCTGAAGCTCATTTACACAAACTTGAGCCATTTGGAAAAGAACACAATTCTATTTTTCTGACCAGTAAACACATAAAAACTTACATTAATGATTGTGAGAGGGATCTGCAGAGAAACTTAACTTGCGGTTTTGTGTGCGAGCCAAACTCTAGAAGTGGGCCTACCTCACCTTAGGAGGGCAACCATGATCTGTACGCCCCCCCGCACACACTGAACTCTTTTCTGAGGGCTCTGAATCTTTTAAAGCCCTCTGAGTACCATCCATTGTAAATTTCCAGAGTGCTCGTTTGGTGCACGCACAAACACAAAGCTCACGGTTTTTAAAAGTTACATAAATCTGTAATCTAACACCTGAATTATTCTCATTCCAGATGTTCACATAATTCAGATATTTGCTCTCTTTTTTTTTCAAATAATAAACAAACATCTAATAAAGACTGATTTGGTTCCACGAGTTCTCCGTCCCTCGATGCCTCGTTTGTTTTGGCTCAGCTGCAGCGGCTCAGATCGTTCCCTGTCTGTTATTTACCGCGCTGTGTCAAAACCGTCAAGGTCACCACGAGAACCGACGGCGTTCGACAGCCTCTGACGAGGAGCGCTTCCTTACCGTGGCGACATTTAAGACAATTTACGAGGGGCTCTTTAAGAGGAGGAGCGTCACAAATACAGCAAACTTCTTCCACTCCGGCAGCGACTGAGGAAGACAAGGGGAGAGGCAGATGGGAGGGGAGGGGAGGAAATAAACGTGTGAGAGAAAGACAGAGAGAGAGCAGTCAACTGCATTAATTTATGTATATTGATTCACATCGATGCCACTTCATTGATTTCAGTGTCTCCTGCACCCTTTCACATTTCACTCCATTGGATGTGCTGATGTTCGTCCTGTCCTAACAAGTGTCCACCCCCACCGCTTTCGTCTCGACGCTAGGCTGCACCAGAGGAGCCATCTCCCTCAGGGGTCATTAGTCTAATCGTTTCATAAATACACTCTTGTATCGCAGCTAGAACGCCATCAGAATGCTAAGTGTCATACCTGCGTTTAGACTATGGGATCACAAAACAGAGAAAAATGAGGATTTGATTGTGATTTTGAACATGAAAGAAAACACTCAGATGTGATTGGAGCGCAGCAAACTACACCGTCGCAGAGCTGATGCATTTTTCAAGGCAAGGAATAGAAATCAAGAGCAGTTTGGGAGTTGAGAGACGTGCACATTTCTAAAATCAGGCTGGGTTTCGCCTGAAAAGTGATTTATTTATTTATTTATTTTTTTGGGCGAGTTTTGGTGTAATCACAGATGATATCAGGATTCTACGGAATGAGCCGGTGTTGTTCATACAGAGCAGAACCTTTAATAAATCTGATCTTTAGGTTTGTCGTTTCGAGCAGTCAGCCACAAAGACACGGTCCATTCGATGAAAATACTTGAGATAAGACAGAACGAGGTCCGGATCATTTTCACTGCTCCTGATCTCTGCTGCTGATCTCTTGTCTGCTTTTACTTCTTACACCTGAACCAACATGTCCGGGGGATGAAAGTACGTTCAGTTTCACGGCACGTCAGGTTTATGATTGGGTGTTTCTAGTTACCGTATTTTTCACTGTATAAGTCGCAGTTTTTTGCATAAATGAACATGCCTGAGACTTATACAGCGAAACTACGTATTTATGTTTTTTCCTCATATTTATAACCAATTTTTGGCTGCGATCTGACGATTTCATTCATTCTGACATGGAAATTATTGAACACTACCATTTTCAGCCACTAGAGGGCCCTCGACTAAAATGGCAAGCCAAGTGCCTCATTAATAGGTAAAAGTGGCTATTAATGAGACACTTGGCTTGCCATACAATGCCACCTTCGTCTCGCTCCAGAACTCCAGGAGAAAACTTAAAATCAGCTGCATTTCGTTGCACCGCCCAGGTGAAATGCAGCTGATTTGACCATTAAAGTGCATTTATTAAGGAAAAGTTAATCTGAGACACCTTTACTATAATATCGAGCAAACAAATAATTGTTTTTAAGTGTTAATCTTGTTAAATTCATGTTAAGGTCCTCCCGTAAACGCTCCCGTGGCCGCCATTTGGCAGCCATTCTATTTTTGGCACACCGGCCCACGTTTCCAGGTTGTCAGCGGTGATGCATAATAGATGCAACTTATACGGTGAAGCGACATATTTATGTTTTTCTTCACTTTGTTAGACATATTTGGACTGATGCGACTTATGCGGCGGCAAGTCCGGTACATTTATCACCACCAGTTTAGTCAAAAGTTAAACATCAGGTTGGACGTCTCCGAGCCGAGTTAAAGTTCTGCTTCTCTTTCAAAGATGATAAAGAAGTAGTTCATGCATTTATTACAATCGTATCCTTGTTGCAGCTCCCTCAGTCTTTCCTCATCGTCTGCAGAAGGCGCTAACCCCCGCTGCTCGACCACCAGCGTCAGCCTCACTTCATTTCCTGTTTGTTCCTGGGTCGATTTTAACGTTTTGCTGTTTGTTTTTAGGGGGTTCAAAGGCTGAGGTCAAACAGCTGGACCATTACAGATGTTCCAGGGGTCAAACGTAAAGTAGAGGCGATTGTGTTTTGCAGTTTCTGCCCGTTTTGCATAATATTTTACATTAATTATTCAAATAAGATCTGCTCAGACCTTTGAGAAACGTCAGGGTGCTCCTCTGCTCACTGGGATTTTAACTTGACGTTTCTGTTTTTGTTGTTTAGCTTCTTTGTTTTTATTACTTCCTATATTTTAGACTTCTTTTTCTTTATTTTTCCATTAGCATGGTTGTTGTCCAGCACTTTGGTGCAGCTTCTGTTGTTCGTAAAGCGCTCTTTAAATAAACTGATGTTGACTCTGAGTTCACCAAACTCCTGAAGCTCGCCCAGTTCGCCCAGTTCGTCCAGCTCGCCCACATTAGAGGAAACTGGAGACGCGGGACAGCCACGAGGAGGAAAGGATTACAGAATGTTTCAAACTGGACGACCAAGCATCGCTGGAGAAATGAGGTTTTTGTCACCTATGGAGCTCTTGGAGCCACGGCACATCTGGCCTCCCACACAGAGCTGAGCTGTATTTAAAGTTCTGCACTGGTCATACTGGTGTCCTTGTTGGTATAAAAAGCAACATGAGACATAAGAACTGGATTCTTTACAGCAGCTCCAGAGGTGTCAAACACATGACGGCACTGATTTTAATAACTTTAAAGCACTTGTGGTCTAATTCGCAAGTCTGAGCTGCAACAATAAAACAAATATTTGACTCTGTTCTGAGCAAAACCTCATTTGACATGACCTGGACGCGTTTCTGCATCTTATCGGAGCATCTATGACCTGAATGATGACGGATGTCTCAAATATTCATTAAATGTAGATTGTTTTTAAAGTCTGACACTTCTCCTACACTCAACAATATGCTGGCATGAACACGATGGACATGGAGTGAAAAAGCAGCTAAAGTCCAAAGAACCATCCTCCGCTGTGATGAAGACCACTTTTAAACATTATATAAAAGTCTGGCTCCATTCAGCCAACGTTGGTTTTGATCTTTAAATTATATCTTCGTATCGATGAGACGTTCAGACGGGTGAAGTCCCTCCCACGGTCTAAATTTAGCTGCAAACATCAGGACGGAGAGCCGGCTGAACTCTCCTCCAGGTGAAGCAAAAAGAAAGTTCATCTTACACGAGTGAATGTCCTTCCTCAGGACCCAGAACTCGGAGTTGTCCTCGAATCTCACCAGACAGCACTGCTTGACTCCGTCTACCTGCAGACAGGTGAGCAGAACAAATCAAGCTTGTCCGGTGTTTCTGATCGAGCTGAGCACACTCTGAGGAGCGCTTCACACACACACACTTACTCTTTTCACGTTGCCGAGGTACAGCAGTCCATCACTCCAACGAGCCAACACATCATCGCCCTCACTGACTCCCCCCATCCTGAGGAGACACAGAGGAGAGCGGGGCTCATGTGAAATGGAAATCCGATTTATTCTCTGAATACTTGGCTGCCATCGCTGCCAGAGAGGGGGTTACAGCCCGGCTGAGGAGCAAAGGGGTTAAAATCCCCCCCCCCCCCCCACTCCTTCCTCCTCCTCCTCCTTTTAAGACCTGAGCATAAGGACAGCCTGTATCCACCACAGTGAGAGATGAGAGTGAGTATACACAGGCAGAGAGGAAGACAAATTATTACTGCGCGCGCACGCTCACGCGCACACTGCATGATGATTACTGCAACACAGCTGAAGAGGCAGAGATGCGCGCGTCTGCAGCCACTTGAAGCATCTGCCGAGCACTTTTCTTCTTCTCAACACCTTAAAAACTTAGAATAAAAGATGCACGCAGTGACTCTGCAGGCGTTGTGCGCGCGCGCTGAGCGTCTGTTCCCGTGCGTGCGCGCAAGTCAACACAGGTGCAAAATGCAAAACAGTGGATCAGATGGAGGATGAGGGGGGGGGGGGGGGGGAGCTGGCCGGTGAAGGGTACCTGTCAGGTGGAACTCCTCTCCGTCTGGGTCACAGTGAGTCCTGGACGGGCTGGACATGAAAGGCGCTCATCTGCTGCGGGTGCACGCTTCCTGGCCGCAAAGATGCGCAGCTTGCGTGTTTGCAAAAAGTGGCTGATGTGCATGTATGTGTCTGTGTGTGTGCCAGGCGCCCGTGTGTCAGTCAAGCAGTCAGCAGAGGGGGAGGAGGAGGAAGGGGGGGGGAGGCGACTGTGACTCTGTCCGTCCGTCTCTCAGTCTCCTCCGCGGTGCCGTTTCGTCATGTTCCCGTCGCTGTTGCTCTCTCTCCTCCCCCCTCCTCACCCCCAGCTATTAAGGCGGGTTTATCAGAATCAAGCCGCCAGAGACGCCATGATCCTCTCCTCGCGCCCTCCGCCGATTTGTTGTGACGCAGACATAAAACACCGAGATATCAGGGGGGGGGGAGTCTGGTAGAGATCCGAAGGTGGCGGCTGAGGGGGGAGATCCTTGCTGTCTGAGCGTGACCCTGAATCTTTGAGTCGGATGTGTGAGGGCATGCGCACGCGGTCACAAGAGCCAATTAAGCGGCCAATTAACGAGTTTATCCGCCTCATTAATTAATGTCCAACATGAGGTTTATGAGAGCAGAGAAGAAAAGTTTCCACAGACCAGGACTTTTAAATGCTCAGACTTTAGCTTTTGTTAAAATGAACTAAATCTTTTTTTATTTCCCCTGTGGGATCAATTAAATAATCCATCATCTTTATTAAAGGAGTTATTTCAGTACTATATAAACTATAATGTTGAATACTCGTCTTTAAAAAATACAAAGAGTGACTATGTTACTTTTGTTCTGCAGAAACAGTAAGAAATTGCTGGTGGTTAACTCAGACGCCTTCAATTTATCCTAATTAAAATGCAAAACTCAGTTTAAAACCAGTTATACAAACCTTCATTTTATATAAAATAGGAAATAAAATGCTTATAATGAAGTCAAAACAAAAGGAATGATTTATAAGCTCAGGTACTTACAGGTAAATCAAAAGGATGATGGTGACTTTAGCTGTTTTGTCTGCATCAGAGTCAGGGTTCTGGTTTTGGTCCTTTACGTTTTGTTTGTTTGTTTATTTGTTTGTGTTTTACACATTACTCCCACCAGTCAGGCTCGTGGTAACACCGCTGTGTGGTTCAAAATGGCCTCTGGCACGTAAAAAAAAAAAAAAGAACAAAAAAGACGAAGCGCCATTTCCACGTGTGACCGCCAGGGGGCGCCAAAAACCAGGAAAAACCCTGGAGCCCGAGGAGTGAAGGATTGTGTGGAAGTCTGTCAGAAACAGAACAGAAAGCCTCTGGGTGCAGTGAAGAAACAGCATGGGAATGTCTCAAATATTCAGAAATGTTTTTAACTGGAGTTGTGCATGGCAACAGAGGGAGGGAGTGATCAAGCGTCAACTGAGATTAATCCGAAATACTGAAAAAATTAAACATAGTGTCAGATTATAGATGCAATCAAGCAGACAGGTTGGTAAAATCAACAAAATGTCTGCAAACCTAAAATCGAACACCGAGGACTGTTCTCTCAGGAAAATGTTCAGTTTTTGAGACGATAGTGGCTCCAAAACAAAGTTTGGATCAGGACACAGTGGTCAGAGGAAATGAACTCTGGTGGAATCAATTCACCTTTTTCACCAGATTTCTTAGTATCGAAGAAAACCGAAGACATAAAAAAGCTCTTGTTTAATTGTCTTCGCTGTGACTAAAGCGGGACATCAATGACAGAGGTGAAAAGGTTGGAGAGGTTTTACTCAAATGCAGTGATTATCTTGCGTATAGACCCTTATTTTAATGTTTTACCTCTGATTAATTTAGATTACTGACTCAAATATTAGGATTTAAACTCTTCAAAGTTGAGAGTTTCAGTCTAAGAGTCTTTTAAGTTTAACATTTATAAAGGATCAGTGTGTTGAACTGTTTGAAAAGAACGTCTGTGACTGCAGAGAGACAAACTGTAGAGGTTGGTGCTGTAATCAAAATATGTCCTGTGACTTAAACCAGAAATCATAAAGAAATTAAATCTTTACGATTTTAGAATAAAACAATAAAGCTTTGTTGTTACGTTGACTGTTTTGGAACAATCACTTATATACAAATGATAGAAAACTGTAACAATTTTATTGTTATAATTTTATAACAAACAAATGTGAACGAGTAGAACACTGTGAGGCTTTCAAAGAGATTCAAAAGAAGACAGTAATGAGAAAGTTACACCATCAAAGATCCGTCTTGCAGGGATCCGGGAGTGCATCAAGGATCAGCTCTGAGCCCCTTCTTGTTTGCTCTGGTGATGGACCGACTAACAGATGAGGTCAGGCAGGAATCCCCGTGGACTATGATGTTTGCAGATGGCATTACAGGTAGAAGAGAACTTGGAGAGGTGGAGGTAGGATTTTGTAAGGAAACTCTGTTCTCAAACCTTAGATTCACCAAAATGTAGCAGCATAAATGGTGTGCTGCCACTTTAACACCGTCAATTGTGGCTTCTGTATAAAAGCGTGTCACAAGCTGTCTGGTAGCTAACCAAAACTGAGGGACTGTCCCGCCTTACATATGCTGCCCTGTCTCTTGATGTTAAGAAAAAGGTCTCTAAAGAGATTGACAAGATGTTTCTTCATTTGGAAGAACAAAAAGCACTATATTAAAAAAAATCTGTAAGATGAACTCTTACGATAAGGGTGGCTGAACTTGTACACCTTGAATAACACATTTAAAATAAATAGGCTAAAACAATTTATCAAGAACCCATCTTCAATTTGAAACTTCATACCAAACTTTATTTTCTCTAAATTAGGAGGCCTAAATTTTGCAATTATAATGTTGAAAAAGTCCCTCAAAACTATCCAGTTTTCATAAACAGATGCTTCGCTCTTGGTCTTTGATTTACAAACATAATTTCTCCTGACACATATATTATATTTGGAACAATAGTGACATCTTGCATAAAAACAAATCCTTATTTTACCCTAATTGGTTTATTCACAACATAGTTTTAGTTCATCGGTTGCTCAACCCTGATGGATCATTAATGTCATATCAAGAATTTGATCCCTATCAACAAATTTAATATTGCAATAAGAGCAATCCCTACTGGAGTAATTATTTTATATAGAAGTACAGCAGGACAGAGTCTAACACTGTTACCCGTTGATCCAACCAAACTTGAAATTGGTCAAATCTGCTTCTCCTCAACCCGTAACAGCAACCGTCGTATCCGTTCACTATTTCAGAAAGATGTTGCGTCAACTCCATATGTGGTACCTTATTGTAACACCTTTGTTAATAACCTTAATTGGAAAAGGATTTGGACTTTACCAACCAGATACACAACCTCTCCTCCTCCACCATAACCCTCAGCACTGGCTCTCCTCAGGGATGTGTGTTGAGCCCCCTCCTGTTTACTCTGCTCACATATGATTGTGCAGCTACCCAACCAGGCTGTCACATTGTAAAGTTTGCAGATGATACAGCGGTGGTGGGATGCATCACAAACAATGATGAGTCCAGCTACAGGCAAGAGGTGGAACACCTGGAGAGCTGGTGCAGAGAGAATAACCTTCACATCAATGTGAAGAAGACTAAGGAGATGATTGTGGACTTCAGAAGGACCAAAAACACCTACACCCCCCTGAACATAAGAGGATCTGCGGTGGAAGTGGTCTCCAGCTACAAGTACTTGGGTGTACGCATGAATGACAACCTCAGCTGGAGCAACAACACCACCAGCCTGATCAAGAAAGCTCATCAGAGACTCTACTTCCTCATGAGGCTGAGACAAGCTGGTCTGGGAAGCTCAGTCCTCACCTCCTTCTACAGGTGTGCAGTGGAGAGCATCCTGTGCTCCAGCATCAACGTGTGGCATGGAGGCTGCACAGCTGCAGAAAGAAAAGCTCTGCAGAGAGTGGTGAAGGCTGCACAGAAGTCTGTCGGAATCAGCCTCCCCACCATCACAGACATCTACACCTCCAGATGCAGGAAGAGGACCACCTGCATCATGAAGGACCCCACTCACCCAGCACACACACTTTTTGCCCCACTCCCCTCAGGAAGGAGGTTGAGGAGCATTAAGTGTAGAACCACTAGACTGAGGAACAGCTTCTACCCTGAGGCTGTTAGACTCATGAATCTCTAACTAGAATAATCACTGTGAAAAACCATATCATGTTGCTGCTGATCTGTTTCATGTTGCTGCTGATCTGTTTCAGTGTTGATGTGTTCATGCATGCACATCTGCTCACAGACTCATGTTCATGTTTGTGCTGATGTTCGATGTTTTATTTTATGAGTGATTAGTGTATATTTAGTTGATGTTTTTCTTAGTTCATATCTTAGATGTTATTACTGTTGTTCTTCTTACCCGTCCAAAATCTATTTCCAACGGTTTAACAAGGATATAAATATAATTTGCTCTTTTTGTGATGAAAACCCAGAAGATGTATTTCATTTATTTTGGCCTTGCCCCTTCTCGACTTAATTTTTTAAGTATTTATATTTTGATTTCAACTTTTATAGAACCAGATCTCTCACTTTGCTTTGAACATGTTTTGTGTGTCTTCACTGACCCAACAACTAAAGAAAAACAGTTATATATTATTAATCTTATTAAATGGCATATTCATAAATGCCGTTAAACTAATCAAAACCTCTTATCTCCATTTTTGAAAATGAGGTCAAACAATATATCATAACTATTAAATATTCCACCAATACAAAGGCCATTAAAACTTGCACCTTATGTGCTCTCTTTAATATATTTATGTAATATTGTCAAGTATTGTCTCAGTGTCTGTAACCCCCTGGTGGCTGTTATTTCATTACTGTATGCTCCATTTTATTGTTTGTTTTGTACTTTTTCAATAAAGATTTAAAAAAAAAAAATGTCTGACGTACATTGCGTGTGTCATGACGTCTGCTTTCCTCCGTTGCTGATGACGGTCCTCGATTCCAAAAATACCCACTAAGCTTTCCAACTTCCACCAACAGGTACTTTTAGCTCGGTCCCTTATGTATAAACATAATTTTTCTCCGCAGAGATGTTACATCTGGAACAACTCTAACAAAATATTCAAAAACAGGTCATTATTTTATCAGAAATGTCTAAAAAAAGGTAAATTTGGTCCTCTGGACCTTAAAAAAAACAAACAAAAAATATATAGAAACGTTTTGTCTCTCATCCAAGAGACTTCCTCAGTCTGAGGTGCTGTATTCAGCTCAGTCTCTTAAATAGCACCTTCTCAGAGTGGATCAACCAGTTTTGCTGCTGACAACCAAAACCAACTGATCACATGCTCAAGAAGGACCATCAGCCTAACAATGGATCATTAGCACACTGAAGGAGGCCATCTTTGTGAAAAGAAATCGTCCATCATTAAACAGGGGTGGAGGC